TCAGGGATGCCAAGCTTCTCTCCTAGCTTAATTACCATTTTTGCCATGGACTTTTCTTTAGCTTTCTCGTTCTTCAATGGTCGCATTGCCTCAGAGAAAGAAAAACAAAACAAGGAAAAAACATAATATATTTTACGCATTAATTCAACACGTATTTTCAGCCAGAAATGGGGTATGTCCCATCTTTGTAAGAAAAAGCTTATTTGATAACATTTCGTTATTATCGAGGTAAAATAGTCTTATCAAATTTTAACTTTTGTAATTTTAAATGAAAGAATAAATCAATAATAACGAGTAATAGTATTAAATGACAGTAAAAAAGATTATGGTGTTGAAATCTCAATGATCTATTTTTCAGTTAAAATAATAAAAATACTCATGTGGATCCACATCAAATGGATGTGTGTCGCCAACCGAAAATAGATAATTTAATAAATAAGTGAAATGTGAATATAATAATATTTATACTCACAATTATCAACAAGCTAAAATATTCAATCTGTCTTGCAGATTGACCCGCATGACCCATCTACATTACCATCAATAGGAAGTCATTTATGTAAAATTTCATCCAGAAGTCAATTCTAAATTCACAATTACATTCTAAAACATTCGTTTTGTAATTTTTTTTATTCTAGATTTGATGTTCTGAAATATAAAAAATATCAGAAATAAGTGTTTCAGAAAGTTATTCCGAATCTAAAATTACCTTCTAGAATACTCATTTTATAAATTTCTTTCTTGTGATTAAATATATTGAAAGGCACTTTTTAAATCCAAAAGTATCTTCCAAACAAAATATTCAAAATAATGAAAGAGTAGAGATATTTTTTATACTTTTTAACCAGGGATAGTTTCGGGAGTGTAACTTTTTATAGCGTTGCTTTTTATTATACCTTATAAATATTTACCAGTAATAATATTTTTACACCCATTATCACTCCTTAATAATTTGAAATAGTGATTTAATTATATAGATTTTATATCCTAGATTGAATGTTTTGGAATATAAAAAATAAATAAAAAAATAACTGTTTCAGAAAGTTATTAATTTAAAATTACCTTTTAGAATATTCATTTTATAAATTTCTTTCTTATACATCAGATCAGATTAGATATTTTGGAAGACATTTTTTTAATCCGAAAATATCATCAAGAAAAAATATTAAAAATAAGGAAATGTAGAGATATTTATTATAGTTTTTAACTAGGGATAATTTCTGGAGTGTCACCTTTTACAGTTGCTTTATATACCTTATAACTAGGGATATTTATTATAGTTCTAGCTCTCAGCAGTTTCAGTCTCAGTCGTCCAATAGCTTTTCCTCTTCGAGCTTCCGTCTGTCACTCTCACCGTCTTCAAACTCGTCTTCTCAAAAGAGTTGTTCACGCCATCGATGTCAAGATCCAGATGGTATATGTAGAAGTGGTCGTGGTAGACACCGATGCTGTTTTCTGACACCAGGGTACCATGTTGATCACTCTTTATCTCCTTCTTGTGCTTGATATCTACTCCCTTGATTTCCAATATCTACTCCCTTGATTTCCGCAATGGTTTATTAGATTACATTGGTGTACATACCTTCGCACAGTCCAAGAAATAATGAATCTTGCCTAATAAAATAACATTAAGAATAATCGAAACAATATAGTATATTGTTTTTTATGTTTAAATAACGAATCGTAAGACTTATTCCTCGTACCATGCCTTTAAAAAGATTAATTAAATCTGTTATCTCTTCAAGATTGCAAGAGCTATACTAGGCATGCACATAGCTATTGGAAATGATGATCCATACCGCGGGTTTGATTGAGCCACTTGTCTTAAACTCCCATTCAATGATGTTGTCGTATTGTCGACAGTACCGATTGTTCTCACCACCAAGTTCACTTCCGTTCTGGTCTCTTCGAACTGTCAGAGGCCAACACTAACGTAAATATTTAAACCTAAATTTAATCGAATGAGAAATCAGCATGTATTGATAAAAAGGAGGTGTGGTATGCATACATACCGATTCGTTGGGAATGCCGTTTTCGGTGTGACGCCACAACATGCTGCCCTATTGTTCGAACACACAGACTGCGTTGGCATTGTATAGTTGTTAGAATTATATATTCTAAATAGTTGTTAGAATTATATATTCTAAATAATGTTTATGAATTGAATAAACAGTTGAAATTAGATAATAGT